TAATTTAAGTCATAAGGTACCATGCTATGAGTTTTTCATGGGAGGCAGGGTCCTGGTAAGCCCAGGGAGGGGAAGGCAGACAGAGACAGAGGACACGTGAGACCATGGAGGAGGCAGAAAAGGTGAGCTGACATCTTAGGTAAGGGAGGGGAAGACAGAGCCTGGAGGCATGACACATGCTTAAGGGATTAGCCATCACCTGTGCCTCTAGGTTGCTCCCATTGACTGGTACTGGCAGGCTTTCAGCAAAACGAAACCTCCATTCTCCGGTCGCTGAATAAATCTGGGGCTTTGTCTCAGCCCACGGGAAGGGAGCATGAGCTCTCCCAGAGCTGGAACCGCCTTGAGGCCAGAAGTGGCAAGGAGTGCCTTGCTTAACTCCATGACAGGGAAAGTTTTTCAGGAAGATAGGAAGAGATAGGTATGGTAAGCAGCACAAGAAGTCTGCTTACATGGGGAAGGAGGTTTGGGAGAGGAATTGGCTGATTTAGAAACTGGTTTACAGGCTGATAGAATCTGCGCAGGGGAACAGAAAGTACAGAGGGAGGGTTCGAGGTCAGAGGGCCGGATTTAGACGGAGGTATGCAAAGGCTTGGACATAATGGAATCTCTCCCCATCGTCCCAATCGCTTACAGTAGTTATATGTCCCGTAAAAGGTTGTGATCTAAAGACTCGAAAAGGGGCCAGTGATTTTGGTTGTCCAAAGGATAAGTGGGCCAGATTTGAGTGCAAAAGCGGATCAAATTTTTTGTTTTATATCTGGGGTCAAACCCAAGGTGTCCAAATTATTGAGGAGGCATCTCAGTGGGGAGTCAGACGGCAAAGAGGAGGTGGCCCCCATAGTGGGAGCCGGTTGGAAGGATATATGGAATCATGGAGTGTCCCTACGTGGCTCTAATATCCTGAGAACGGTACAAGGCGCACGAGAAGCAGTCATCACTGCGTTCAAGTGGCTTGTAGGGCCCCCGGGGCCCAGAGGCTGTGTGTCACCCAGCACCGGGCTTTGCAGATGGGTAGTCTCCGAGACCGATGACAAAAATAGACCAAAGCCGAACAGAGGGAAGGGAACCCCCCTCTACTGTCTGAGTCCCAGAGATATCCAAAAAGTGGGGGTGTTTAAATCCCAGAGACACTGCAGGGAGAGACCGCAAAGGGAGCCCAATAAGGGTATGTGGACTCACCAAAGAATGTCCAGTGTTGGATGCAAGCTGGGCGATCGGGAGGATGAGAACTGGCCAGTCACATCCTCAGGGTGGTCGTGGGGTGAGTTGGAATGGGGGTACCACCAGGATTAGTGGGGAGCCCCCATCTGAGTCATGGAACCAAAATGTAAGGCAAATGTAGGCCCAAAGTGACCACGCAGAGAGGAGTAACCTGGCCAAGAGATTCTTTATTGCCGGGTGGGAGAGGGAGAGAGCAAAGAGAGAGAGAGAGAGAGAGAGGGAGAGAGAGGGGCAGGGGCTTAAATACCCCTCAGTGAGATTTGGCATGATCTGATTGGTTAGGATCTTATGGTTCATGCTGATTGGAGGTTGGGGCAGAAGGAGGATTCAAGCTAGACTTGAGGCAGGACCGTGACCCTGGAAAACAGAAGCTTAGGGTGCAGTAAGAACCGAAACCTATTGGCACCATTATTGCCAACAGTCTTGAATAGTGTGGTTTTCTATCTATTTTTTATCTGTAAAATGGGGATAATTTCATTGTAAGGATTAAATGACATTATCCATGTACTATATTCTAGCACATAGTAGCAGTGTATTAGCTTTTTGTCACCAAGTTCACTTGAGATTGTCAACTTGTAGAGAAAAGGCTCAGTTTTAGAGGTTCTAGTCTATGACCAGTTGGCCTTGTTGCTCTGGGCTTGTGGGAGCACATAGTAGAGCAGAATTGTTCATCTCATGAGCCAGGGAACAAAAAGAAAGAGAAGGGGTAGTGGTTCAGTAGATAGGGCTCTCAGCTTTTTGTCAGTTCAATTTGTTAGGAAGAACAATAATGTCGCCATTTTGTGAATCGGTGGCCTTTTCATCCCCAGGCTTCACTTCTGGAGAAACGGAGCCTCCCACAGGCAGCTCCACCCCCAATGGCACCTCCACCCCAACGGAAAGTCCTGTGCTCTAACTTCCTCAAGCTCCCTTTTCTATAAAATCCACGCCTAGGCCAGAGTCAGGGCTGTGCCATCTTTCCCCAGCCAGCCTGGCAGCTGGAATCTGTCATTAAACCTTGCTCTTGGACATGAGACTTTTCTCGTGAGCTTTCTTTGCGAGAGGCATTTTTCCTAACACAATTAGCTTCTAATTCTGTAAAAGATTTGAAATATGTCTCTGTTTCTTGAATTTGAGAAGGGAATTTTTTAAAATATTATTTTCTCCCTGAATTTTGTTTAGACAGAATATTGATTAAAGTACTCCTTACCTATGGTTAGAAAGAATAAGTTTGAAAATTACTTTTTTAGTTAGAATCATACCAAATTCTAATGGATAGTTAAAAGATTGGAACAAGTTATTTTTATAAGAGAAAAAAAATAACAGTAATAAACTGAAAAAGCTCACATCACTTTTAATGGTGGACTTTTGGGGTTCTATGAGAAGGAATGATTTTTCATTTTTCTCAGGAAATCCTTTATACATACCATGACTTCCTCAGTCTGGGTTTTCAGTAGTAGTTATGTTAAGTCTAGTAGAGAAGAGAGTAGTCAATAAATGATGCTGAGCAGGAGCCAGGCATAGTGTCACGTGCCTGTAATCCCTGTAGTTGGGAGGCTGAGGCAGGAGGATCTTGAGTTTGAGACCAGCCGGGGCTACCCAGTGAGACTCTGTCTCAAGAATAAAATAAATGCCCTCACGTATTCCTCTGAAGGAAGCCAAGGGAGAGGAAATCTGGAGTGAAGATTTAATTTTCTTGTCTACTATTGTGGAAGAACTACTTATTAACTGTAAAAATTCTTGCAAGGTGTTACTAAAAAGTTCAGAATATGAATTTGTATTCACAGAGGGATGATTTTCCTGTCTCAAAGAATGATTATAAGGATTAACTGAGGTAATAACAGAAAGCATCTTTTCTTTTAGGTGGTACTGTGGGTTGAACTCAGCCTCGTGCTTGCTGGGCAAGCACTTTACCACATGAGTCACTGCTGCAGCCCTTTACTTATTTTTTAGCTATGTTGCCTGGGTATCATGTAGACCATGATACTCCTATTTATACTTTCTGTGTTGGGATGACATGCCCAGCTTATTGGTTGAGATGAGGTCTTGCTAACTTTTTGCCTGGGCTGGCCTTGAGTTGTGATCTGCCTGATCTCTGCTTCTTGAATAGCTAGGATTATTTGTGTGAGCCACCATGTCCAGCCCTAAAATTTTTGTTTTTGATAAGCTGGGATTGTAGACTTTTAGAAACAAAATGTTTTAAACCTCTCTTTTCACAGATGAGGAAGTTGCAATTTAGTTCAAAAGGTTTACTTGCCTAACATAGCTCTTTGGTAGGAATGCAAAATGCAGTTGGCTTGAGGTTTGAACCTCAGTCTTGGGTTTTTTCTGGCGGACCTGGAGTTTGAACTCAGGGCCTCATGCCTTGGCACTCTACCACTTGAGCCACTCTGCCAGCCCTCAGTCCTTGTTTTTATTCCAGCTCTAGGCTTCTTTCTGCTTGTAAGAATATCTTAGCTAAGTTAATCAATCTCTGTAAATTTGTTTCTTCGTTAATGAAGGAATAATAATTGACTTCATTAGACAGTTATGAGGATTAGATGTGTTGATGTATCTATCTATCTATATATCTAACAGTACTTTTTTTTGGTGGTAGTGGGGTTTGAACTCAGGTCTTCATGCTTGCTAGGCGAGTGTCTACCACTCCAGCTATGCCTCCAGCCCATACTCATTATATTTTATCTTGCAGTGTCTGGTTTATTGTCTTTTACTGAAAAGAGAGAATACGAGTGGGAATTGTTTAAAAGAAATTCACTGACATTCTCAATTTTTATGTCTTTCCAGTTGACTTTTGATGTCTCTAAAAACAAAGGTTACAAAAGGATATCTGTGGAAGATGGTTTTACTGCTAGGAGTTATGTACCAATGAGATAGGTAGGGTTTGAGGGTACAGATTGTCTAAAAAGTGTTGTTTTTCTTCCTCATGCTTGCTTTGAAAGTTTCTTTTGGTGGGTGCTGATGATGAGTGGTGATAGAGATAATGGTTTTAAAGGAAACTTATAAAGGAAGAAGGTAAGGTGTTGCTATGAAATAGTGTGGTGATTTCTTTAAACACATACCAAAGCTAGTTTAAAATTAGTGTCATTCCCTAAAGAGTAGATATTTGGCCTTTATTTTATTGCTGTTGTCATTATTTAAAATAACTATGGTCATGACTTGGATTTAACCCATGACACATTCTTTTACTTAGTGATCCTTTGAGATGAATTGAATTACATGAGGCAGCCAGATATTATTTGGAACCAGAATGAATCAATTAGACAATAGAATATTTTGTCAAAAACAGGTATAAAGTTGTAGAATTGATTATTTTCTAGGTCTTATAAATTAAATCCCTGAAGGAGTTTTGCATTTTTCTTTGTTGAAATAAGTATACTAAATGAGTAAACCAAATATGTGTTTAAGAAGTTTAAAAAAGCAAGCAGCAGTTGGACGGTGAATACTGAAACTGCTTCCACTTACAGAAACAAAGCCATGTTTATGTCTATCTAGCTCATCCAGTTCAAATTCAGGAATTTTCTTTGCCTTCTTTGATTTCCACTCTTTTACTTATTTTAAGTAAGGTAAGTTAATCTTGAAGCCAGTTGGAATTTTAAATTTTGATATAAACAATCTGTATTACTCAGGCACAAATGTTGATAAACTTTTATCTTTTTAGGAATTCTTCTGGGAAAAGCATGGCTAGTTTTTGTGTTTTTTTTTTTTTTAATGTTTTTGATTTTAAGTATGTCTCTACTTCTTGAATTTCAGAAGGGAACTTTTTGAAATAACAATTTTTTCCCCTGAATTTTGTTTAGACAGAATATTGGTGAAAGTATTCTTTACTTGTGGGTGGAGAAAATAAGAGATACTCTGATACAAAAATCTCAGATGACAGAACCAGGTAAGATTGGGAAATACTGTCAGCGCTCTTTAACCTGCAATAATTAAATTTTCGTGTAGGCATTTTCATTGAAATTTTATATAAAAATCTGTATTCTGGTTTATGGTTTCTATATCATAAAAGTTTCTCTAGAAAGTTTATTTACTCATGTAATTATGGTAATTTCATTCTGTAAGGGTTAGTCACTTTGATTTCATATTATATTCTTAAAGAGTTTTATGATGAAAGAACTTGGATCCAAAATCTGTTCTCTTTGACTGTCTTTAAGGTAACATGAACTTTGTGACATTTACCATTAATTATTGGACTATATAAATAAGGTATTAGCTTCAAGTGAGTCTAGCATTTTTAGGAAAAGAACTTGGAGAAGCACTGTGACCTATATTAGGATATAGATTTTTGAATTGATACAATTCACATGCTATGAGTATTCACCCTTTTCAGGTGTATAATTCAGTGGTTTTTAATAAATTTCCAAAGTCGTACAAACATCAGTACTATCTAATTACAGAACATTTGAAAATTAATATTTTGCTCTATTATTAATCTCTTATTGAATGTTAAATATATAACAACATGAAAATTTCTAAATTTTCCTTTTACTTCACTTTACTAGTCTTTGTTCTCCTTATCACAAAATTCCTTTAGAGAGAAAAATTCTCCATTTAACCTGATATTACTTCCAAATGACATTTTAATGTTATCACTGGTAAAGTTATTATTTTAGATTATCTTATTTTTTGGCAGTACTAGGGTTTGAACTCAGGTCTTTGCACTTGCTAGGCAGGCACTTTGCTGCTTGAGTGCTGTAAAATTATTTTTAATTTGGAGAAAAAGAGGGATTAAAAAGAATTCTGTAGTTTACTTACTAATTTTTTAGATTATTTACAGAGAATGAATTATTTAGGACTCCCTTAGCAAAATCAGTATACATTTAAAGTTGATAGCATATGGAAAGTATATTTTTTGAGAGCATTTTATTTTATATAGAGATAAATATTTTTATTGCTTCTATTAAAGTCAAAGAGATGTGGTATAAAGATATTCTATCTATTTAATATTTTTGTAGCATTTTCCTTAACTTTTTTATGATCCATGTTCTGATTTTGCAGCATTTCAGGGCATGTATGAGAAAAAGTCTCAAAATTTGCAAAACAAAATTCATTTTGCCATCCTGCCTTAGCGTTAGAATGATTATAGAAATGAAACGTATGCTAGTAAAAATTTAAGACTCCAAAAAGTTTAGAGTCATTCAACTCTTAGGAAATTTTAAAAATTGATCTTAGAAATGGCATTTTCCCTTTCCCACCTGTAATCATATGTAGTTTAGCTGCCCTTCAAATTTTGTTGTTACTGATTTCTGTTGTATAATTAAAATTTTTGAATTTTTAGAATTTTATTTGGCTTTTTGTCTTTAAAACTTTTTGCAGACTTCATGTTAAAATGGAAGAATTAATAACTCTGAAGAACTGATATGGGTGAGAGTTAGTGATCAGAGCGTGTCATGAGAATCTTCTCCAGAGCATCTGCCTGTCAAATCATTTTTTTTTATTTTACCGTTAACTTTCAGTATGAATTTATTCTTTATTATAATTTTATCTAGAATAGAATTTTTAAAATTTAAAATGATTATATATAACTTTAAAAACTGAAGTAATTTTAAATTTACAGAAAAGTTGCAAAAATAGTATAAAGAGCTCTTTTATATTCTTCACTGTGTTTCCATATTAACATCTTACGCATCCATGGTATAATTACCGAGAACAGAAAACTAATACTGATACAATACTATTAACCAAACTAGAGAGCGTATTCAATTTTTACCCAGGCTTATTCACATTTCATCAGTTTTTCACTAATGCACTTTTTGTTGCTATAAGATCCTGTCCATGATTCTACGTTGCTTTTTGTTGCTATTTCTTGTTACCCTCTTCTAGTCTATAATCAGTTCCTTAGTCTTCCTTTACTTTCCTAACTTGACATTTGAAAAGTACTGATTACTCATATTGTAGAATGCCACTCAGTTTGTGTTTGTCCAGTGTTTTCTTATGATTAAAGTGAGAGTACCAAAAAATGATATTGTGTCCTTTACATATCAAGGAGTTCATAAGATCAGTATGCCTTATTATTGGTGATGTTTGCTGTGATCCTTTGGTTAAGGTAGTGTCTGCCAGGATGTCTTCACTGAAAAGTTGCTATATTGAGGTTTTCCAAAGAAACAGTTTCAATTTTGTATATGTGTTTGGTATGTATATGGAGAGAGAGAGAGAGAGAGAGAGAGATTGAGAGATTGAGATTAGATTGATTGATTTTCAGGAATTGATTTACACAGTTGTGTGTAATTCTAAAATTTGCAAGAATGAGCCAGAAGGCTGGAGACCAAAGAAGAGTTAAATGTTGCAGTTCTTGTCCAAAGATAGTCTGCTGGGAAAATTTCCTCTTTTGGGGAAGTTGAGCTTATTCTATTAAGGCCTTTAACTGATTGAATGAGGCTCATTTGCATTATAGAGGACAATCTGCTTTACTCTTAGTCAGCTGATTTAAATATTAATCTCATCCAAAAAAACCTTAACAGAAACATCTAGACTAATGTATAACCTAAGACCTAGGTACTGTAGTTTCCTCAAGTTGACACATAAAATTAGCCATCTTATTAACCATCATAGTTACTAGCTTTGCCTTTATGTCTTGAGGGAGATTTTCTTTTCTTTTTATTGAGACAGGGTTCCCCAGTGTTACCCAGGTTGGCCTCAAACTCCTAGTCTCAAATGATTCTCTCTAGGAGCTGAACAGGTCTGAACCCCTGTGCTAGGCTTGAAGAGACACTTTGAGTCTATGTTAATATTCTGTTTCTTTTTAAATTTTCACTCACAATTTTAGTATCTGTCAGTGAATCTTGGCTATAATAATTACTTAATATTATGATTAATGTCTTACCTAATAGTCTCTGTTTTCTTTATTTATTGAAATTCTATTATGACAAAGAGAAATACTAGTTCCTTCTGTTGAAGATGGTGTTTAGAGATCAAGATCCAATGATTTTTTTTTAAGTGTAATTTCTTACTTGCTTCATAGACCAACCCCAATATCCCATATCTACATAGGCCCAGATATAAAGAAGAAAACTGAAGAGGAAGACATTGAATGTGAAGATGATCTTATTTTAGCATGTCAGCTGGAAAATCCCGTTAAAACATTGGAGTTTGATATCAGTGAAAATCAACCAGGTATAATGTTACTAAGTAGTTTCTTTTGAAAAGAATGGCATGGTAGTGTTTTGGTTTTTTCTTTGGGATGGTATAGAAATTTAGTAAACCCTCAAATGTTAGGAAGTAGTTTTAATTTACAGAGAATTGAGATTTTTTTTTTCCCCTCTGCCTGCCAGTTCCATCAGAATGTTAAGGGAAAAAAATAGAAATTTTCTTGTTTTTCCATTTTTTTAAAGTTTTAATTTAATGATGGGAGAAATTGAAACTAAGAAAGGCTGCTAATGTTCTCAATTTATGTCTTGTTTTTGTATTTTGAAATCCTCTGCTAGCTCTTCATACCTCAGTTTTACAGTCTGTGCTCACAAATATAAATAAAATAACACTGAAAGTACAGGTACTGAAATTAAAGCTAGTAAAAGGCCTTTAAGAGTTTAGTTTTTGTTGCAGATAATGTGCTCCATAGTAATAATTCAACTTACAAATGGGTTGTGTCATAGTTAACCCTGTTTCTATAAGAAAGTATGTTCCATTTTAGTACTTAAAAATCAAGTTGTTTTTTTTTTTTTCATGGACTGGGGTTTGAACTCAGGGCTTTGCACTGGTTATTTTAGAGATGGTGTCTTAAACTATTTACCTGGGCTGGTTTCTAGTCATGGTCCTCTAGATCTCAGCCTCTCAGTAGGTAAGATGCCACTGGCACCGGGATTTTTTTTGTTGTTTTGAAACAGGGTCTCACTATGTAGCCCGGACTAACTTCAAACTCAGTGTCCTCATTCTCCCAAATCCTGGGATTACAGACATGTTTTACCACACTGGCTCCATTTTAGTGTCTTTAAGTTTTCAATGTTATCTTCAGTTTTACTAAGTCTCTTATAAAAACATGATAGATCACTCCTAGAATCCTAGCTGCTCAGGAGGCAGAGATCAGGAGGATGAGGTTCGAGACCAGCCCAGACAAATAGTTTGTTTGACCCTATCTCAAAAATACCCAACACAAAAACAGGGATGGAGGAGTGACTCAAGTGGTAGAGTGCCTGCCTAGCAAGCATGAGGCCCTGCGTTCAAAGGCCTTGAGTTCAAACCCCAGTACACCAAAAAAATAAAACCCAGCAACCCATGATAGAACACATACACATTTATATATATAAAACATGTTGTTAATAGTGGTGGAACTACTGTATGAAATTCAGGGGAGGAGGGAAAGGAAAAGAGAATGATAGTCAACAGTATCAAAATACATTGCATCAGTGCAGGTAGGTGAAATAATAACATGTACTAAAAAAACTGTTGAATAATAGGCAGTAGGAGAGAAGGGGTAAGGGCAAGTAATAGAGGGTTTAAACTGATCAAAATACAGTATATTCACACCTGAGATACATCAAGAAACCCCTTTGAGTGCTGACTTTGGAGTTAAAAATGCAGGTAGGTCCATAAAATAGGTCCTGTGGGGGGTTGGGGTGGTGGAAAGGTGAATGGAGGAGATGAAGGAGGCTGCATGTGGTCTATGTGTTTTGTATACATACATGATTAGAGCAATGAAACCTGCAATTGCTTTCAGTGGGGCAGGGAGAGGGATGAGGGGGAGAGATTGTGGGGGCGAACCTCACCAAATACAATGGAATGTCATAATGAATCTCCCCTATACAATTAATGTATGCTAATAAAAACAAATAACAGTGAAGAAAAACCATGATAGACTAGAAGGAAGGATAGTGTTTGAAGGTGAGCTCTTTCCTGTCATTTTACAGTAACTTTTAAATAGTGTTCTGAAAGTTTAAAGTTTTTGAATGTGCCCCAGGGCTAGTGAAAGGAGGAGATAAAGGGGAAATGAAGGGGTTGGTGAGAGGACCAGGGTTCCTACTTGTGCTTCAACCTAAGTAGCTCTGTTTTAATCATCTGTACATTCATGGATTTGATACAGGACTTCTTTGGAAACCATTTAAAGAAAAAGCACAGCAAAAGAAATAGCCTACAGAATGAGAGAAAATCTTTCCCAGCTACCCATTTGATAAGGGGCTAATATCCAGAATCTATAGGGAACTTAAAAAACTCAACCCCAAACAATCAACATTCATAATAACATCAATAGGTCATTAGCTCATATTAATCTGGACACTGTATTTGACTTATTGTTGTATTAGTACAGTGGTCAAAATTAACTCAAGGAGAAGGTGATAACAAAGAAAAGGTACAGCATCCTACATAAACCTATTTTTTTTTAAATCTTGGATAACTTTTCATACTAAATGATGCAAAGACTAGCAGCCAAGACACTTAAGTTTCTGACCAGAATTAAGGATTAATTTGTGATTCTTAAACTTGTTGGACTAACAGTTTTATGGACTATCAATTGGATGTAGTGTTGATATATTTAATTCCATCATATGAAGTAGGGAACAGTTTTATAGAAGGCAATAGGTAGAAGACTCTAGGTAGCTCGGTGGTAGAGCACTTGCCTAACATGTTCAGTGCTCTATGTTCAATTCCCAGCACTGAAAAAAAATAAGAAGACATTATATTATAGCTATATATTATAAAGTCATTAGTTTTCCACAGACAAGAAGACCAATGGATCAGAATAGAAGACCCAGACATAAACCCACGCATCTATAGCCAACTGATTTTCAACAAAGGAGTCTAAAACACACAATGGAGAAAAGACAACCTCTTCAACAAATGTTGCTGAGAAAACTGGATATCCACATGTAGAAAACTGTAACTAGGTCCCCGTCTTTCACCTTGTACCAAAATCAACTCAAAAGTAAATCAAAGACTTTAATATAAGGCCTGAAACTTTGAAACAACTCCAGGAAGTAGTAAGAAATATATTGGAACATGTAGGTGTAGGGAACAACTTCCTAAGTAGAACTCAAAAGGCTCAGCATCTAAGAGAAAGAATGAACAAGTGGAACTGCATCAAACTAAAGAGCTTCTGCACAGCAAAAGATAACAGTTGCTAGACTCAAGACAGCCCACAGAATGAGAGAAAATCTTTGCCAGCTACTCATTTGATAAGGGACTAATGTCCAGAATCTACAGGGAACTCAAAAAATTCAACGCCCAAAGAATCAACATCCCAATGAAGAAATGGGCACATGAATTAAACAGAATTCTCAAAGGAAGAGGTAGGTACAAATGGCTAGTAAATACATGAAGTGTTCAAATTCCCTGATTATAAAAGAGATACAATCAAAACTTCACTTAGATTTCATCTTACCTCAGTTCAAATGGCCATATTCAAGGGCAATAACAACAACAACAAATGCTGGTAGAGATTCAGCAAAACAGGAACTCTTATATACTGTTGGTGGGAATGCAGATTAGTACAACCACTAGAAAGCAGTATGGAGATTCCTCAAAAAAGCTGAGGATAGCACTGCCATATGATCCAATAATACCGCTCCTGGGTATCTACCCAAAGGAATGTAAGTCAGGATGCGATAGAGACATCTGTAAAGTGGTAATCATCATAGCACTATTCACAATAGCCAAGCTTTGGAAACAGCCCAGATGTCCTACAACTGATGAATGGATCAAGAAAATGTGGTATCTATACACAATGGAGTTTTACTCAGCCATAAGGAATAATGACATGTGGTTTGAAGGTAAATGGATGCGATTGAAGGACATCATGTTAAGTGAAGTAAGCCAGACTCAGAAAGGCAAAGGCCACATGTTTTCTCTCATGTGGAAGTTAGATCCAAAAGATAAACATATACCCAAAAACATTTGTATATTTGGTCATATATAAATTCATATGTAGAACATGTTTGTAATAGTGGAACTAGTCTACGGAACTCAGAGAAAGAGGGAGAGGGAAAGGAAAAGAGAATGATAGAGTGTAAATAATATCCTAAAACATAACATCTGTGAAGGTAGACAATAGAAGGATGTGTATTGAAAGCTGTTGAAAAATTGATGGTGGGAGGTAAAGGGGAAGGGAGAGTAATGGTAGGTGTTGAACAGACCAAAGTAAAGTATATTCACGGAAGGGATACATTGAGAAATCCCTTTGAACATCAACTTAAATATTAATAATGAAAGACAGGACTATAAAATAGGTGTAGTGTGTGTGGGGGTACTAGTGAGAGAGTGGATGGTGAATGAAGGAGATTAAAGGTAGTGTATATGGTTCATGAACTTCATATACTTATTGTAGTTACTTTGAATGGGGCAGGGTGGGGCTTGAGGGGGAGACATGGGGGTGATGTAACTTACAATGTACAATATAAATATAAGCCTAATCAGAATTGTCACTCTGAATCCCCCCCTTCCCCCAGTGTAATGAATGTATCCTAATAAAAAAAATCTATAAAAAAGCCTTAAGTTTTCCAACCTAGAGGCCTGTTAATAGAATGGGAGAAATAAGTTCTAGCAGCTGTCAATCTTTGATCTTAGGATCCCTTTATACTCTTAAAAATTACATATTGTATTAGATCTTATACCAACTTAAACTACACCAACAGTCCAAAATTTGAGTACCACTTCCATTGAGTGACACTGGCAAATAAAAATCATGTAAAAGCCATGTATTTTTTTTCATATATATAATACATTTTAGAAGCATTTTGCTTTAAATTTGATAGACTATTATTGGATATTTTCACTTAACATATGATTTACATTTATCTCCTAGTTCCCTTCCCCATTGCCAGTTTTTCATCATTTGAATGTAAGGCTGTTTTAAAAATAAAATATTTCCTTAAATTTATAGAAATAGAAGAGTTACCTCCAATTGATCATGGCATTCCCATTACAGACCGAAGGAGTACTTTTCAGGCACACTTGGCTCCAGTAGTTTGTCCTAAACAGGTAAAGTTACTATGTCTGGTTCACTGTGATGCTATTTGACCAAAATAATTGAAGTAAATGATTTTGTAGTAATACCCTATTTTTACTCTTATGTTTAATTTTCAGAAATGAGATAAAAATTATTTGTTCATATTCCTATTCCTGAATTCCTTTTCCTTTCTGCTTTCTGGTTTTAGGTGACCTAATTCCCACCAAAGAGTATAAATGGGAGACTTTTTCATTAAAAGCTCTATTCTTAGGTCATTGCCCTTTTTAGTCCCTTTTCAACAAAATTCTTTTCTTCTTCCTTGTTTCCATAATCTAGCCCAGGTTAGACTTTATGATGTACAAGGCAGTTTCAATTCTATGCATAAAGTTAAATAATAATTTAAAAAATCTCATTATTTACCACCAAGTTTTGGGGATTAATCTCTTTCCCTTTTTCTCTGCCATTGTTCTCTTAACTCTTTTTTCCTTTGCAGTGCTGGGGATCAAATCCAGGGCCTTGAGGATCTAGGCAAGTGCTCTACCACTGAGCTGCATCCCCTTCCCTCTTTTAAAGTCTTGACCTTTGAGAATTCAGTTCTTTGTAGTAGGACTTTCACTCTTAGCCTCTGGAGAGGAAGCTCTTTTCAACGCAGACTTGTGGTCAGGACCACAGCTTTTTTTTTTTTAATTGTTTTATTATTCATATGTGCATACAAGGCTTGGGTCATTTCTCCCCCCTGCCCCCACCCCCTCCCTCTCCCCACCACCCCCTCAATACCCAGCAGAAACTATTTTACCCTTATCTCTAATTTTGTTGAAGAGAGAGTATAAGCAATAATAGGAAGGAACAAGTGTTTTTGATAGTTGAGATAAGGATAGCTGTACAGGGAGTTGACTCACATTGATTTCCTGTGCGTGTGTGTTACCTTCTAGGTTAATTCTTCTTGATCTAACCTTTTCTCTAGTTCCTGAGAACCACAGCTTTTGAAGCAGCTTTCTGATACTTTCTCTCTGGAATCTCATTTTGTCCATGGCCTTTGCTTATAATCTTGCCAGGGTTCTTCTTAGACATTCTATTTGGAATCTGTTCGTCCTGGATCCTCTTTTGTTTTTGACTATAGTCACTTAGATTATGTGAGAGCTGAAACAAATCTTGGAGGTCATTGTTTGTTTCATTGATTAAGAAATTTTAAATGATAAGCACAAGACTGCAACATTTATGATCAAAATTAGTCTACCTCCAACATTTTTTCTATACTCCTTGCCAAATTACAACCTTTCTGAAAATCTGACCACATTCACTGTCTTCTCTTTCTCATTCTCTTTCACGCATATAACATTGCTGATTTTCATTTTCTATAAGTGAAAAATGTAAACTTCTTACACAAAACCCTTTGTGATATGATCCTAGTTTATCATTCGTGGCATATCTGTCATCTGAATGCATATTCTTTTTAAGTTACAGCTACATATATAATTTCCTCAACCTTTCTCTTTTATGTTCCTTCTAGGGTTGCAGAAAAATATAGGATATCTATTTAAATTTGGATTTCAGATAAACCTAATTTATAGGACATATTTATACTTATTTATCTTATATTTACCTTGAAACATTTGTTTTTCTGAAATTCAAGTTTGACAGGGTGTCCTTCATTTTTATTTGCTAAATCGAATCACCCTGGTCCATGCATTTGTACCTGCTGTTTTCTCTGATTGGAATGTTTTCTTCCTCCCCCAGGTACTTCCTTCCTTTTTGATACAGAAGAACTGCCTCTTATGTTATAAAACCTGGCTAATGAAGTCTCTATGAACCTTACTTAACTCTCAGAAAAAGTTTTGGTTTTATAACATTTGGAACATAATCATTATTATTTATCTATCTCATTAAGTATTACATTTAGTAAATTTCAGAGCTAATTTTTAGTAATGATTACATTTAGATTTAAAATTTTCTACTTGGAACACATTTTCTTATACAGTGGCCTTGATATAGTTAGAGCCTGCACATCTGTTGATAAATAGTGCTCAAAAATACCAAATGTCATTTTTATACTAATTGAGAGTACCAATTTCTGCCCCTAAAATGAGGAGAAAACTTTGGAATTGGCTCTTTCAGAGCATAGTAGTAGATTCTTTAAATGAGTATTTATTTTAATACGGTATTTATATCAATGTGCTTAAAATATTTTTCTAGCACTTTATTTATATTATTGCTGTTTTTAAGGTGAAAATGGTTCTTGCCAAATTGTATGAAAATAAGAAAATAGCCAGTGCTACCCACAATATATATGCCTATAGGTAAGTAATTATTACAGTTTTGAGAATATGCAATTTATAAACAGTGGCTGGAAGTTATGCATGATTTAAAGGGTAACTCTTATGCATTTTTCTCATTATAATAGTAATAAGCATATACAATATTTGTAAACTGCAGAAAAGACAAAAAAAAAGGATTGAAGGGAAAAATCAAGCATCTTCCACTGTACTATTTTGATGTATTTTCTGCCTTCTCTATGTAAGGTTTATTTTTTTCAGTGTTTTACCCTTGTGTATTTTAAAATATTTGACAAAAGTGTTTTCCTATAACTACTTGATACTGTTTTAATGTCTGTGTAATACTTGTTTGGGACTCCATGCCACAGTTTATTTAACCATTTCCTTCTTGTTTTAGTTTTTCATAGTTTTCACTATTGTAAAGAATAGTTCAGTGAAGTTGAGTGTGGTGAGTGGTGTGTGTTTGTAATCCCAGCTATTGGGGAGACAGTGGTGGGAGGATCATGAGTTTGAGACCAGCCCAGGCAAAGTAAGCATGACCCTATCTCAAAAGCAAAAATAAAAGCAAAAGAACTCGGAGGTGTATCTCAAGTGATAAAGTGCTTTCTTAGCATACATGAGGCCCTGAATTCAATTCCCAGTACTGCAAAAAGAAAAAAAAGAATGAAAAAAAGAAAAGTCCAGTGAACCTTCTTTTTTATACTTTTTTAGATTATTTTTGCAGGATACATTATGGATGCTTCAGCTTCTTTTTTGAAATGAAGTGGGGGTATGATTACAAAGAAGACAATAGATTCTTATGGTTGAATTCTCAAAAAGTATGAGCATTTTTGAAACTCTTGAAAAATACTGCCATATTTTTTCCAAAGGTGTTTTGTTTTAAAAACCAGTTTATGTCAGCAGTGAATTAAGAATATTTATTTTCCTATATGCTTTTTAGTTTTGAGTACTAAGCTTTTTATACAAATCTTTGCTGACTTATAAATGAAGATATGATGGGCATATTTTTTATAAATATGCAAAATAATAAGACTTAAGGATTAGTTTAGGCCTAATTAAAACAATATAGATACAGGGATTTGGTACACATTTAAAATTCATTGTAGAGTATTTAGAAAATGTAAGCTATCTTAAATTAAAAAAAAATCACGTTGCACAGTTGAGTTTTTACTAAGTTACATCTCCTTAAGTTCCACAGTATAGAAAGAACTATTTGTTTGTAAGACTCTTCTTAACAGTGTCACTGAACAAAATTTTGATGTATTCTTAGTGAGTTAGGGCCATCAGTATGAAAATGGGGTATTAGACTATGCTCTGAGTGGTTAAAATGTGCTATAGAAATAGTAATAGTTACTATTCATTGATTCTACATATTTATTGAGTACTTTGTGTCAACGGTTTATATAATTTCTGATTCTGATTATTTATTAATTCTGATTATTTCAGTGATAGAACTGAATTTGATAATCCAGTTTCATTTATCTCTTTTTTCCTATGTGGCTATTTTGTTCTATGTTCAATAATTTTTTATTATCATATTGTATTGGGGTGTATTTACAAAAGTTCTTGCAGTATATCATAGCATTTTCAAGAAATTTTTAGGTTGACTTTTTTTTTTTGGTGGTACTGGGGTTTGAACTCTGGGCCTTGCATTTGCTGGGTAGTCACTCTTTCACTTGAGCTATGCTCTCAGCCCTTTTCTGCTTTAATTATTTTTCAAATAGAGTCTCATGTTTTTGCCCAGGGCCTTCCTTTCAAACCTATGCCTCCCATGTAGCTAAGACTTCAGGTCCATGCTACCATGCCTTACTTGTGGGTTGAGATGAGCGGGTCTTATCTTTTGCCTGGTCTGGCCTCAAACCATGATCCTCCCGATCTCTACCTTCCAAGTAGCGTGGATTATGATTGTATGCCACTATGGCTGGCCAGTAATCTTGTACATAGTGTTAATCCTAAACTATCAAAAATAAAAGCTAAATGATACGTTGTTGACTCTATTTTAGGTCCCCAGAGTTTTGGGCTTTTATTAATGTTCTTCTGAGTGTTTTTATATCTTTCTTTTTGGGCTTTTAGTAAAGTTCTTCTGAGTGTTTTTAGTCTTTTTTCCTTCCACACTAATAAGTATCACTTACTACTGTTGCTTTTTGCAGCTATTTGTCAACATGACTGACTGCAAGTAGCAGCTTCTCCTCATTACCCTCCTTAATAATTAATACTTAGGAATGAAAGAGTTGAACTTTTCAGAATTATATGTCATATAAGACTAAAAAGACACCAAGTGGAGGCTTGAGGGACCCTGCTGGGAGTAACGTCAATGAACTTTATTTGGTACATAGAGTTTGCATTGTATATTTTGAATTCTTAGGGTCCTTTTAAGGTTACAGCCTGATACTGGACTGTGTTCCTGCTTTGGAGTTATTGGGGTGCTCTTCAGGCTACTGGTACATATAGCCATTGAATGCTACATCATTATCTTCCCGGCATATGAGGAAAGGGTTAGTGAAAATTTCCATGGGTTCATTTTTTTTTTTTCTTAATTTAACAGTACTGACTTACCTAGTCAAATTTTCTTCATTTGTTCCACAAAATTATGGTGTTAGATTATAATTGTAAACCTAATCTAAATCAAGTCCTGATTCTTTTTAGCCTTAAATTTGTCATATAAACTTTTGTTTAATAGTACTAACATATTTTCCTTAAATGAGGTTACTAAAAAGTTACACAGCCTCATAATAAATGTTCAGTTACTATTTATTTGTAATTCAGTTACTATTTAATGATGGATAGATGGATGAATGAATTAATAAATATGACTGCTATAATATAGCTAATATAATTAACTTAAGCATGTAGATGAGCATTTACTGTTTTATATGTTTACATTAAAAAATTTCCAACTTTTTATGGCCATAGTTGAGAGGGTATCTACCACATTTGCCCTGTTCCATGTGACGTCATTGTAGGGGTCTAAGAAACCCACTACAATGGGATACTTTAACTGGTGTGTATATGTTTGTATTTTAAAATCTCTAGTACTCATTTGCCAAGTTTTTTCTACTATAACATTGCAGTACATTATTCTGAATACCAACTTTGTAGATAAGTTAAATGGATAAAAATCCCATGATTTATCACTAATACTGATAATACCCACTCAGAAAAATCTTTTAGTTCTTATTCATAATGGATAAAATAGAGAAATGATGGATGATTAGAATATGATGAGAGAAAAAGTATAAAATGTTAATATATTGGCCTTCCTTTTCTTTATGTGTTTTTTTGTTTCTTTCATTGAATATTAGACTATTTGAAGACAGAAGTATGCTATATATCTCATTTGTATCATTTTATAGTACCTATTTTTATAATACTTCTAAACAGTGTATTTTCTAGATGTTTTTCAATGACTGGTCTTTATTACTTCATAGCTTGAAGGTTAAGTGAAGTAATGGAAATGACATATGCATAGATTCATCTTCCCAAAAAAATAGCATTTCTGCTATAAAGAAGACACCTTTGATTCTTAGCTTTCCCAAGTATTGAAAAAGGTGAAGTACACTAGATAGTAAAACATCCATGAAAATGTATCTCACATAGAGTTTAAGAAAGATTTTTTAAAACCAATATGCTGATTCGGGAAGCAGTAAAATTAATTGTAATAAATGTTGAAGAGTGACTTTTATTATAATATTAGATTTCAAAGTATAACACTGTTACATATATTTTTAGAATATATTGTGAGGATAAACAGACCTTCTTACAGGACTGTGAGGATGATGGGGAAACAGCAGCTGGTGGGCGTCTTCTTCATCTCATGGAGGTAGGTGTAAGTTACACACTGTGAATTCTGTTCTATGTGAGCCATAAAATTTCTCAAAAAAGCAGAGCTCCGTTTAGGAATTAGTAAGTTAGTTAAATGACATAGGATATATTTGATTTAATTAATAGTTAAATTTTAAACATTGAGTGGGAATTTTAATCATAATATGGGCAGAAAGCAAATGGTTAATAACAAGTGCTGTGCTTTCAAGACAGACAATAGATGATTGTCTTCAACTTTGGGAAAATCCTCCTCTTTGCTTTTGACAATTTCTTCCTCCTCTCTTTCTCTCTCTTTTCCTACTATCTTTGTAGAATTCCTGTTAGTTGGCTATTGGAACTTCTGGAAAGATCCAGAATGTTTCTTTCTTTTTTAAAAAAAGTTAAGTTGTTCATCTCATTGTCTATGTTCTGAGACATTTTCTTGACTGTCTTCAAAAATTTCTGTTGTAGTTTAGAATCTTTTTAACCATTATGTATTTAATTTTTAAGAGTTTTATATTTTCTATTTTTACTTTTTCATAGAATCTTGTTCTGGTTTTATTGATGTAATATCTTTTAATATTTCTCTGCATATATTAATCAGAGTTTCTTTATTCAGATGTTCTCATCAAATTTTTCCTGGTCCATATGTTTGTTTATCTTGTCCTTTCTCTTTCATGCTGCTGGATTTTCTTCTCATGTCTGGTGATCATTTATTATCCATTAATTTTTAAGAATGAATTTTTTTCCTTAAGATAGTTACTGTGGCTTCTTCTGTATTGTATGTGGAGCTTTGTTTTCTAACTAGGCCTTTCCCTTGAATAGGAACCCTGTGTGTGGGTCAGGCCTGTACACTGGTGGGCTTCACTTTAAGGGCACCATTTGACAAATGTGTCAAACTGATGAAGACTTTACTGGTAGGCCTCAGTGACTACTCATGCAGTCCCTATTCTCTCCAGTAGTTTGGTCAGATCAAGGTTTCTTTGTTGTTTTGGCCCAGTGGTGAAAAGCTGCTTACATTGAGCTATTATGGTTGAAGTTACCAAGAACTGGAACCCTACCTGCATGGTTTGCCCTTCATACTGCCAGGTTGCCCCAAAGTTGGGAGTCTGAGGACACTAGAACACAATGGTATTGCCTTTTCAAATGCCCTTCTGTTCTAATACTTTACCCCTGAATTACTAGTAACCTTACCCAGTGCATACTCATCTGGGTCTGCCATTAAAGTCAGTGGGAAATTTTATGTGCAAATTTATATATAGGTTATCTAAATCTTTAAAACACATTCATACATGTCTTTATGTGTGTTTAATTGTGCTTCTGAAAATAACAGATTTTGAATGTGAGGAATGTCATGGTGGTGGTATCACGCTGGTATGGTGGAATTCTGCTAGGACCAGATCGTTTTAAACATATTAACAACTGTGCCAGAAATATACTAGTGGAGAAGAGTTACACTAGTTCACCTGTAAGTGTCTATTGATAACTGTTTCTAGAGTTTCTTATTCCTGCTTGTGATATTATAAAAAGAAAATTAATGAATATTGAAATTATTAAATACTGAGATTATTCAAGTATAAATTTACTAAATAAAATGTTTTTCTTGATTTTATCCTTTATTGAATTGAAAATATTATAATAGGCCATAAGTGAAAGTGCCCTGTAATACAGAAAGATGATACATATGAAAGTAATCATACACTTATCATTATATGTAGACTATATGATTAGATGTAAAGTCCATCTGCTTGTGAGTTGGGGAGATGCTGCATTAATTTGTGTCTTTTTCAGGAGGAATCTTCTAAGGGTTTGGGAAAGAACAAAAAAGTAAAAAAAGACAAGAAGAGGAGTGAACATTAATACTTGAAACTATATGAAAGGTTAATTTGCCTATATTATATACACATTCCATAGTCATCAAGGAATATATAATACAGAGCGAGTATCCTTGACTGCTCAAATCAGCCAATTCATCGTGGCACCAGCATTATCTTTTCTTCTTTAGTTTTGTTATCTGCCAAAAATAGAGAACTTATGATATATTCATGTGTATCTCAGGCTTATTTTGAAGAACTAATTTGAACTTAATTACCATTTCATCTAATTTTAGGAAGGTAACAGTTGTCCAGGGTAGTACCTAAATTAACTGTCCATTTCAGTACATGTCAAGTGCCTTTGTTAGGTGGAGAAGAAATAGCTAAAGAGAAATATAAATATTTGATTTTTTGCAATAGGAATTCTCATACAGTTAAATGAATATTGTCTTTTACTGCTCTTAATGGCTTATTGGAATAGGAGCTCATTGAAGATTGATCTTGGAGAGTTTCTTCTTGTGATTTTGGTTCATAATTATGTCACTTTTCATTTTATAATGTTTGTCATTGAGTAATAGATAAGTGAAATTCTAGGTGTATCCATCTGTAATTATGTGCCAAGGTGATACTTGAACATATTTGTTAGCCTAAGTGTTATGCCTCAATTTCTGTTGCAAATTGGTGATTGTGAAACATCAAAAAATGATTTTCTAGTCGCTTGTCTTTTTTTTTTTTTGTTTAATTTTCATAATGTAAAACAATGAGTATGGAATATCAGTAGGCTTGTTCCACCCCTGAAATGTGTTGATGTAATATTCTGGTTTCTTTTAATAATCTAGAAGTACCTTTCATGAGATCTTCATTGAGGAATTAGAGCATTGCTAAAGGCTATACAGTGTTAGTTGAAATTTTATAGAATTGGGATAGAGGTAGCAGAATCACTCTGGTGTAGAGCAAGAATTGTGATGAATTTGATACATATTTCCTATCTGTGCTCCAGCCAGCCTTTTCAATTCCATGATTTTGTGGCGAGAAGGAAGAACAAAGCTTTTGATTAGAGAAACAAATAACACCCTTCCTCTCCCCAATTCTTTAGCAAATTGTCCTTTTTTAAAAAAATGAATATTTTATGTGTCTTTCAGCTTCAAGTTATCTGTAGGTCTGTAGGCGATAAATTTGCCTTTGATATATAATAAGCCACACACTATTTCCTTTTAGATATGATGGAAACAATTGTTAAAAGTGATCAATTGATCATAGATTTGTCTGGGATTCCCTTCCCAAGGGAGGAGGGAACAGAAATTAGGAGGTAGCCTTGGGATGGTGCTGCAGCACAGAATGCATCAGAGCTCAGGCGGGTGTTTTTCTCTTCAATGCTTCAATTTTAAAAGATCCAACACCCATTCTTGGTATTTTTAATAAGAATCTAGTAAACAGCTACACACTAGGCTGGATTCTCAGACATGAAATCTTATTTTCAACATTACTTGATGTTGTGAGTTACCAAGAGTTATAGGATACATATATTAATTTTCTAAGTATATCCTATTATGTGATAACCATTAAAACAATTGAAGAAGCTGTTGTCAATAATGGCGCTGATAGGTTTCAGTTCTTACTGCACCCTTAAGCTTCTGTTTTCCAGGGTCACGGTCCTGCCTCCCAGGGTCACAGTCCTGCCTCAAGTCTAGCTTGAATCCTCCTTCTGCCCCAACCTCCAATCAACGTGAACCATAAGATCCTAACGAGTCAGATCATGCTGAGTCTCACTGAGGGGTATTTAAGCCCCTGCCCCTCTCTCCCTCTCTCTCTTGGCTCTCTGCTCTCTCCCTCTCCCACCCGGCAATAAAGAATCTCTTGGCCAGATCACTCCTCTCCATGTGGTCACTTTTGGGGCCTATATTTCTTTACAGAAGCCATTTATTAACACCAGAATAATTTCACAATTTTGGCTTTTCAAACCTGTGAAAAGTTAGAGAAAATAGTAAGAATTTGATACTACAGAAAAACAAATTAGTTAACTTTTCTGCCACACCAAATTTGAATTTCTTATTGTTTTATCCAGCATTTGAGTTTTTACCGAAGACAAAATACCTTTTATAGCCGTGATCTCTTTTCCCCTATTCCTTAATTTTAAAAAAATCTTACTTTTGCTTCTTTTTACAGATTGCTAACCATAATTTTACTGAATTAAAAACCTGAATTTCCTTTACTGAAAGTCAGTTAGCTCTTAAGAGGAGAGCTCCAAAATTCTCAAGTTCTAAACCCTGAATTATGGCACATTCTACCATACTAATATTTTTTTTCTCTATTTTATGTAGAGGCTTTTCTAATTCTCCAAATTTTTTTTGTTAGTGGTACTGGGGGTTGAACTCAGGGCCTTGTCCTTGGTTATGGGCTTGAGCCACCACACCCAGCCCCAAAACTAATTTTTCATAACTGATCTATGCTGTGACATACTTTATATCCTAGTAGTAAAAATATTCTCCACATACCAGTATAAGAAAGCAAGTAGCATCTACTTTTTAAATGGGAATAAGGACAGCTGCATCAAAATTATGCTTTTGGGGTGGGGTATGGCTTCAAGTGGTAGAGTGCCTGCCTCAAAAGTACAAGGCCATGAGTTCAAAGTCCCAGTACTGTAAAATAAATGAATGAATGAATGTATGCTCTGGTTGAAGAACATTATGTTAGACTAATCACAATAAAGAAAGAACAGATGAAATAGATACTGTTTGTAAGGCAGGTGAAATTTATTGGCAAAATTGTGTAGTCACCTCTAATTCTACTATAGAGATAACCATTATAAACATTTGGTATGTACATTTTTATTTTTTCTTATGCATGATTTTGTATATATGGCTATTTTTTCCACAAAATGGTATTACACTGTATATACTGTTTTGTATCTACATATTTCATATAGAAGTATATTGTTAACATTTTCCATGTCAATAAATATTCTTCTGTGTCTTAATTTCTTATTGCTGCATTGTATTCTGTCTCCTGGGTACACCATAATATTACTAACTAGTCCTCTGGTTATTTCCAGTTTTTAATTTTTTTCCAGCTTTCTATTATTATAAACAAATGTATAAAATTGTATTGCTGAATATACATTTTTATATCTGTCTCTGATTATTTCCTCAGGAAAAAGTAGAAATGGAATTTCTTGGAATATTTATACATGCTAATAGTTCTTGGTGGGTTTAGTCATATTGTTCTCTAGAAAAATTTTATCAGTTAGATCCCTAGAGTTGTATTAGAATATACTTAGAATTCCAGTCAAAGATGTGAGAAAATAGGCAGTCTAGCAGATAATATATTTTTATAAACAAATCTTTAAAAAAAGTAATTAGACTTATGAGAAGTTGTAAAAGTAATAGAGAGGTCCTATATATCCATAACTCAGCTTCCCCTGGCAGTAACATTTTATAAAGCTATATAGTACATCTTCAAAACCAGGAAATATATTCTAGATACAGTTATTTTGCTAGCTAGATGATTTGTAAATATTTTCCCATAGTCTATAGCTTGTCTTTTCATTCTCTTGGCAGTGTTGTTTGCAGAGTAAAGTTGTTAATTTGAGATCTAATTCATCTTGGGTTTTTTTCTATTTGAATGATTCTTTTGGTGTCATGTCTAAAGACTGCCTGTCTTTAGGCTATGGAGATTTTCCTCTGTTCTCTTTTTAAAATTATATAATTTTGTTTTTCATTTAGATCTGCTATCCATTTTAGTTTTTGTATGAGACAATGAGATTTAAGTCAAAGTTCTTTTCCTTTTCATGTGGATATCCAATTATGGAAGTGACTGATTTTTTAAATTGAACATTTTATTGATGAATTTCATGAAGTAGGCACAGTTAACGTCACCAGCATTTAGATAAAAATAAAGAACAATGACAGCACTTCCCAGTCTACTTGTGTCTCATCCAGCCATTGCTCCTATACTGCCAGGTAAACACTTCTCTGACTACTGACACCAGAGATTAGTTTGGTCTGTTTTGACGTGTATGTAAGTGTAATGGCATAGTATGGTGTTTGGGCATTCCTGGGGGTTGAACTCAGGGCCTCTTCTTGCTAGGCAGGCACTTTACCACATGAGCTACTTTGCCAAAATTGTTTTGGATCCTTTTGTTTCAGAATTGTGTTTGCGAGATCAATCTGGGTAGTTGTATGTAGTAGTAGTTCTTTTATTCTTAGCTAATTAATTGCGTAGTATTCCATTTGAATGAACATGACACTTCATTAATTCTATTTATGGATATTTGGGTTTCCAGGTTGAGGCTATTACAACTAATGTGGCTATGGAAATTATTTTTTTCTGTGGGTTTGAAGTCAGGGCCTTGGACTTCCTAGGCAGGCACTCTACCACTTAGGTTATGTTCCCAGCCATCTATAGGCATTCTTATACACGGGTTTTGGTGAACATAGGTGGACATTTCTATGGGATATATACCCAGGAGTGAATTTATTAGATCATAGGGTATGTGCATGTGGAACTTTGGTATATACTGTCCAGTGATATGCTGGTATATTTTAAACAACTGACTCTGGGGTGAATACTTGTGGAGTTCGGGGTGGGGGTCGTGCTTCTCTATGGCCTCTTGTCATCTTTGGGTTTAGGAATAAGCTCAGGAGACATGGGTAGTACACACACAGGTAGATTTATTAGAAAAAGAAAAGGCTGCAGTTAGAGCAGTGCAGCAGAGCCCAGAAACCAGTGGCTCCCTGCTGAGGTGAAGGCTGGGCTTTTTATGGATTCTTTAACTATGGGTTATGGTAAGGGTTAGGTGGGTTCTTTCCATTGGTCGTGGGTTTGCGCATGCTCTTTGATGAGCTGGTCTGTTTGCCCCTTATTGGGGTGCAGGGGAGGGGGAAACAACCTTGAGAGCCTCCTATCTACAGCCTCGTGGCAGATTTATGAGACCATACCTCCTTCTCAGGGTGCAGGGCTCATAGTGCTCTCCATGGGGAATGGGATATTGACTCACTCATCTGTCCTTTAGGTTCCCCGACCCAACATACTGACTTGGAATATTTGCCAGTTTTTGTGTGTAAATACTCCTAGTCTGTCCGATTTCAGACTACCAATGTGAAGTCAACTGACTCTCAAGATTCCTAAAAAATTAACAATTGATTCTTTGAGCTGAAACAAGCCAGCTACATCATGTCACTTTACCTGCTAGACAGTTTTCCAAAATAGTTATATTAAAGCACTGTTACCTATCTCTATCTATCCTTGCATCCAACGAGAGAAGAATTCAGGTAAGATGCAAAAATACAGTGAAAGTGATAGTAAAGGAGTTTATAAGGAGAGTCTCATTCTCGACTCTGGAATGAGAAGACTGTTTGGCAGTTGGAGCTGGAATATTTATTGAGGATTTACCAGCTTCAGGTTCATCTGATTCCTAGGATGCAGCCTGTGGACCTGGGTTGTTCTCTTGCTGAATTCAAGAGATTACTTATGTGAAATTTACAGCTCCAGGTCCATCCAATGCCTAGGGTGTGGTTACTCTTGAATAAAGAAGGATTAAGCTTTAGATGAGTAGTGGACTTAAAAGCTTCCTGTGATGCTTTCTTGGTGGGCTACTTTGATCTTAGAAGACTGCTCAGAGTTGGAAAGTTTAATATACAATGTTTTTCTCTCAGAGACCTTGAAGAACTCTATATTTTAAGTTCCCTTTGCATATCCCCATCACTCATGGCTAACTGCTACTTAACAGGGCAGTTTATACTCCTACTGGTAGTAAATGAGGGTTCTAGTTACTGTTCATCTACATTTGGTATAGTCTTTTTCATTTTCTTCATCCTATGTGGTGTATAGGGTGGGATCACTTCGTGGTTTTAATTTGTATTTCCCTGATAACTAATATAGTTGAATGCCTTTGGTTACCACATTTTATACCTGAAGGTACTGAGTCACTTTGAAATGACATTTTTTTCTCCCTTCCAGGAAAAGAAAGATAAAGGCTTGTTATCAAATTTGGATCAGACGTAGAGAAATAAGGTTACAGTTTTGCATATCGAAGGACATAGTCTGTAAATTTCAATACTCTATCACCACTCCATTGGGGTAGTATAATAAATCTTTTGTCTAGATTATTATGAGGATTAAATAAGATGTCTTCTGTGGTGCTTAATATGTGAAAAGAATTCTTCCAAGTCTTACCTTGTATTTGAGATAGGCTATTTATGAAGATTTTAACAGAAGCTAGAATTCTAAGTTGACATTGGGGCCATCGGGTCCTTAGGCTCCCTAGGAAGCCAATGTGGTACAGTAGTTAAGAGCCAGGTTCCTGAAATCTGTTAGGTTTGAATCGGAACTAGTCTTTTTTTTAACTAGTCTTGAAACCTTGAGGCAAGTTACCTTATTACTCTGTATTGAGATGTGAAAAATTTATAAATGGCTGTCATTGATAACACTTGTAAATTTCATCTTTGTATTTATCTGTCTTTCCTATTGTCATGCTAGGTAGACAGGCCTGATAGCAAGACAGAACAAAGTCAGGACCCAGAGGCTAGTAAGGAGGTAAGATTTAGTGCTTATATCTCAGCTGGCATGGGTTTATATCAAAAGATTGCTTAATTACAGAGAAGGAGGAATGCTGTTACAAATCAGAGTACAGACCAGCGGTTGATAAAATTTTTCTGTAAACAGCCAGATATTAAATATTTGGGATTTTGTGAGCCATACAGTCTCAACTACTCAAGTTTTTGTAGTGTGAAAGTATATATAGATAATATGTAAATGAGCAGCATGGCTTGTTCCAGTAAGACAGTTTATAGATACTGAAATTCTTTAAATTTTTTTTAACCATGTAAAAATACAAAAATCGTTAGCTTTTAGTTTTACCAGACTTACTCTGTCTGAGCCTGAAGACTGTTTCACAATTTCAAAGAATGAAAATCATGGACAAGGAGAGTAAGGTGGGAGATTTTATTAAAATAGAAAAATAGCAAAGAGTAGAGCTCCCAGAGCTGGGAGGAGTCCCAAGAGAGGGTGCCAGAGAAGTCACGTGGTCTTGAGGCTGTTCTTCATTTTCTCCTGAGTATTGCTCAATTTCCATATTAATAGGTGTGCAGAAAGCAGCATTTCAATTGGCTATGCCTGCAACATTCTGATTGGTCATGCCCTAGCCCTTTTTGGTGTCTTCATTCTAGTATATCCTGCTTTTCCCTTCTTTCTACCTTTTAAGGTCACAGGGAGGTCATAGGGAAGGTTTTCAGGGTATCTTTTGTCCTAGCTATACTGTCTACTGTTAGCTAATTGTCTAGCCTTCTTGCTTATTCCCCTCATCTGAAGAAGTAAGGGAAAAGGGGTGATGATAGCTCTTTGACTGATTCGAGCTAGAAAGGGGTGTTGGTAGGAGACAGCAGTTAGGGTGTTCTCACAGAGGCCTTTCTAAGAGTCCCTGGTAGATGGAGGTCTTTATTTGAGGCTCTCATTTTTGTCTTAAATTTAAGAGGTGACAAGGGAAATTTAGTTGATGGGTTGCCAGGACCAGGAAACATCCAGTTGCTTTTTCACTAAGAGAAAAATCAAACTGAAATTAGTGAAAACCATCCTTTAAAGTAAAAGATTTTTTTTTAATATGTGGATAAAAAAACATTAAGGTAAATAAAGTCTATAGATTTAACATTCTGAAAACACCTGCCACTCATGGAAACAGTAAAGTTGATTGGTAGCTGCTATAAAGATGACAGTTGGTATCCATATGTTGTGTATTTAAGATATAAATGGTCAGAGTTTAGTGGAGTTAGCCCTTGGGTTGTATAATTTGTAGTTTTATAGCCTGGAGACAGGAGGACACAAACTTGGTCAAAACATTACTATAAGGTTTAATAAGGAGCTCATCTGGATTTTTTTCTGGAGCTGCAGAAACAGTAGATGATAAAGAGCCAAAGGGAGTTCTTATCCAGTTGGAAGGACAGGAATTGAACATCAGGCATTCATGCTTAGGGGTCACTCCTTTTTAGCCTCTTGGCTTTAATTGATTTTGGAGATGCAGGCCACAAGCAGCTCTATTTGGGACCTGACAGTTTAATCTCTCTTGTTTGAACAGTTTAGTCTTTTGTTTTTTGAACAGAAGGTAAAACAGGTCCTGTCTGGGGTTTGCACCAGTGGGAGGAGGGAGGATGTGGGAGGGTGAATATGGTGGAAATTATGTATTCATGTATGAAAATGGAAAAATGAGACCTGTTGAAAGTGTTCCAGGAATGGGAAAATGGGGGACAAAGGAGAATGATGGAGGGTTGAATTTAACTACAATATATTGGAAGAACTTTGGTAAATGTCATAATGTTCCCCCAGTCCAACAATAATAAAAAAATACTAAACTTTTTTAAAGGTCCTTCATGACTAGGATAACTTTGTCCCAGGAGGTCTTTTCTCCTTGCCAGGATAAGATGTCCTGGTTGGTTTGATTTGATTTAGTCCCATGTTGGAGGGGAGTGACAGGTAGGTCAGGTGGGAGTTCTAGTGCCCTTAAGACTCTTTTTGGCCAAATATAAGCAACAAAGAAGTTTAGAAGAAGTGGCCCCTAGGCTGAACTTACTTGAAGTCCATTAAATTTAATTTTGTCTGCCTTACAGATTATGTCCGATGTCTTAAAAAATGTTCCTTAGATTCCTTTGTTAGATAGAGGTATACTTCTGTAGAACATCAACAGGCAAAAAAGTTTTATAAGGAGAATACAGAGCAAAGCCAGTTAGAGCAAATATTTAAAGAAACAAATGTTTGGAAAATAAGTACTTGCTAGAGGTGTTTTCCATGAGTTTGATTGTAAATGCCTTAGAGAAGGATCTAAACTACAGATGACAAGAACACTTACAACAGCCATTGTTAGAATTTTAAAATATTTGGTAATTGACAACAATTCATTGACAGCATTACATTAGTAATGTTACAATTAAGAACACCTGTACACAAACCTACACATGTCTACCATCCTTGGCAATTTTAATTTAGAGGAAACTACTTGGTATAGCTGTTGCTAGCACCTATTGGTTCAATTAAGTACAGAGACACAGTACTCAGGAGACTCTTATTTCAGAGAACAGGGTTTTTATTCAAACAAATTCACACGGTGCTTTCCTATGGATCCTAATGCTGTCTCTGCTACCCTAGCCAGCCAGGAGTTACTCAGACCTTCCCCCAAGTCTCACTCACCCTGTGACGTCTTCTCAGCTGACGAGGGGGGCATAGCTCATCCCAGGGGATTCTCACAGCCACCGTGTTCACAGTTCACTGGCGGCATCAATGGTCGTGGGGAGAAGGGGCATGCTCACAAGCGGCAGCTGCCTCCACATCAGGGCCTTGGGATGGACTCTGATGGTGTGGTCTCTGGTGGGCAAGGAGGTGAGCGAGGTTTTGGGTTCTGGCCTGAGTTTATATACCCGGTGGTGACCTCACCACCCCTGTTATCTGTACCGTCACCTTAGGGTTAGCTTGTTTGCATATCAGCCACCACCTTAGGTTTGGCTTATTAGCATATAAGCCTGTCACACGCCGGCTGGTTTCTAAGTCCTAACACACACTAGCTAATACTTCTTCAACAATTTTTTATACTTTAACACAATACAAGCCTTCAATACAACAACAATCTTATATGTGTTCACCACAATAGCACTTTTTTAAAACATGGAGAACACAAATACATTTAACATGTAAAGGAGCCAGCATAGTTAGCACTACAATTTAGACATATCATACACATACACTAACTTTGTTTTTACCCTTGGGAGTAAAACCTTGAGTCTTTTGATAGGTAAGATAACATATATATAGCACTACCAAAACCTAAAACCCTAGAATTTTTTTTTTTTACCAGTTAGGGGAGCAGTGTCAGTGAACCCAAATAGCCCCCACTTTTTAATGTTTAATTATATCCCATATAATATATTTATATTATGTTTATCCAGTCAAGACAAATAGATGTAGTTCCTATTCCAAGCAGTAGGGCTGCCCAAATGGCAGGCCTCTCCCATCTGGATGGCATTAACCAGTGACAGAAATGCCAAAGGTTATTAACCATTTTTATATGTAGGAGGTTCAGATGTGATGCAGATTTTTTTTTTTTGAAGTATTGAACTCAGGGCCTATACCTTGAGACACTCCACCAACCTCCCCCCAACCCCCGGCTTTTTTGGGGGAAGGATTTTTTGAGGTAGGGTCTCACAAACTATTTGCCTGGTCTGCCTTCAAACTGCAACCTCCTAATCTCTGCCTCCTGAGTAGCTAGGATTACAGGCATGAGCCACCAGCACCCAGCATACATCTTAGATAAAAGAGAGCATCACATCAGCTAGTTGTGTTACCTGTACTAAACTTACACATTTTTAACTCTATAAACATTTGTGTAGTGTTCAAATCAATCTTTGACATATAGTTCATACATCTTTAGTCACAGACGCATATAGGTCACTAGCCATATTAGAATTACTTAGGATAATAATTATCCATAATTATGAGGTAGTCTTTTAGAAGACTTGACATAAACAGACTTTCAAACTTTGATTTAGTTATGACTCAGTTAAATCAGTAGTCAAAACCCTGAAAAAGCAGAATACAAGCAATTACTTACCTTGATAAAATAAAACTTTTCCTATAAGCCTGTTTTTAGCAGTTACTAAGAGCAGAATATTTATTTTAAGACAGAGAATTTGGTGCTAGCTTTGCAACAACCTATTAAATTTTGACGTTAGGAAATTCTTAGATAATTCTTGCATTACAGACAACTTAATCTCATATAATAAGCTCCACCTGTTATATATTTTAAAGACATATGACTTTCTGAACCTTCTGGGGCTTGTCCTTATCCCCCCCCCCCTTTTTTTTTCCATTTTGGAACAATCCTTCAGGAAAAATCTCACTTTACAAAATCCTTTCTCATTTTAAAGCATTTTCTTTTTCCATGTCTTGAACATGGAAGCCATTTTGGACAATCTGTTTTACTTCCCTGAGCCTATTTTTCCTTGTCTTTCAAATGGAGCTAATAATTGTTTTTTCAAGGATGTTTGGAGGATTGAATGACATGAAATAATGTATTAAGTGTCACTAGTTGAAGGCTTTGCATACAATAGACTGCAGTAGATGATGGTTAATAAATCCCTCCTTTCCTCTCCTCTTCCTTCCCTTCCCCTCCTTTCCTTCTCTTCTACCTTCCTCTTCCTCTTCCCTTCACCTTCTGCTTACATCCCTGAACTCCTTTAATGCTGTTGTTGCTTTGTCTCACCTGATTCCTGCTGAATGCTTCCAGCCTGTCTCAAATGTATTATACTGGGCAAAGGAGAAGCCAGTCATTAGAAAAAATAAGATTTCCTGAGGATGGAGTGTCATGGACTTGGGGAGCCATGGTTTAGTAAAAGAATTTATGGAAACAGAGTAGGAGAAAGCAGATTTATTAGGATGGCATTAAAAGGGGAGAAAATGGTGTGCAACTAGTCAAAGAAGATAGTGCCCTGAGACAGCATTTAGAGTAAGTAACCTCAGGTTAGGCCACATTTGATTGGGTTTCTCCCTTTTTTTTTTTTAACTGATTAGTTGTTTCTTCCTTGGATCATGTGGGAACATCTCTGTGAGCATAGCTTTTACTTCTTTGGCAACCCCCCTCCAGCCACCTGATTCATCCCCCCACATTCCTTCCGTCTGTTCCTTGCTACTCTTTTGTCCACTGTGTCTCCTTATCTATATGGAACCTATGAAACTTCCCTGAAAAGAAAAAAGAAGTGAGCAAATAAGCTTTATGGGATAATTCCGAGTCGAAGTTGAGGGCTTTTTGAAGCCTAGACAGGAGAGTGAGGACGGAAATCATCAGTAGAAGGAAAGAAGGAAGAATATTGGCTGAACATTTGTGATTCTCAGCTCCTGGGACGTGTGGGAGGGTATGGATGAAGAGCCTAAGAAAAGTCTTTCCTCTTTTCAGTGAGAGATATATCCATAGAGTTGTGTAGAACTAAGACTCTAGAATGTATAGAAGAAAAATACCTATAGGTTTGAAGTAGAGCTGGGAGTTTAGCTCAGTGGTAGAGCATCTGCATTGCATTCATGATGTCCCTGGGTTCAATCCCCCAAACCAAGAGAGAGCTGGAAGTTTAAGTTCATCATGAAGAAAATAGAAAGTATATAGTTTCAAGAAAAATAAGGCCAAAGTATGGATAAATTAGGTACCAGAGTTGACTCTCTTGTGAAACTTTCTTTGTAAACTCAGTATTTTCCCTTTTTTTTTTTAAGCTCTAATTCTAGTAATAAAAATGGTTTAGGAAGTTATAGGACCCATCGAATATGACATCAGCAGCACAGGCAAGAAAAGTAAAAATATAAATTGGACACTAAAATTTAAAATTTCTGTGTATCAAAGGACACAAATGAACAGAGTGAAAAGACAATCTAAGGAATGAAAGGAAATATTTGCAAATCATGTATCTTATCAGGAGTTAATATTTTAAAAATATATAAAGAACTCTTACAAGTCAATAATAACAACAAAACCAAGTAAGTCAGTTGAAAAAATGGGCAAAGGACTTGACATTTCTCCAGAGAAGACGTACAAATGGTCAAGAGGCACATGAACAGAAGCTCTTCACTAATCATTAAGGAAATGAAATTCAAAACCACAAGATACAGTAGGATGGCTACTAGTGTTGGTAAGGATGTGGAACCCTTGGAACCCTTGTGCACCATTGGGAATGTAAAATGGTGCAGACACTATGAAACTATGGTGATTCCCCCAAAAATTAAAAATAGAATTACAATTTGATCCAGCAGTTCCACTTCTGAATACATACCCTAAAGAATTGAAAACAATATCAATGAGATATTTTCACACTTATGTTCATAGCAGTATTATTCATAATAGCCAAAAGGTGGAAGCAACCCAAGCATTCATCACAAAATGAATAAATGAGGTATAAAATGTAGTATATAAACACGTTGAGATATTCGGCTATAAAAGAAAGGAAATTGAAGGTTAGAAAGAATTGAAGTGAGAACACATGAAAGTTAGACATCAATGTCATATTTACCATTATTCATAATAGCCAAAAAGTGGAAACAATCCAAATGTCCATCAGTGGATGAGTGAATAAACAAAATGTGGTATATGCGTGCAATGGAATGTTGCTCAGCAATAAGAAGGAAAGAAGTACTGATTCATGCTGCAGTAGGGATGAACCCTGAAAACATGCTGTGTGAAAGAAGCCAGTCACAAAGACCATGTATTCTGTGATTCTCTTTATATGAAATGTCCAGAATAGGCAATCTATAAAGACAGAAGTAGGTAGATGGTGTTTACCAGGAGTTGGGGATACAGGATTGAGGGTGAGGGAACAGGGAGTGACTGCTAATGGGTGTGACATTACTTTCTGGAGGGATAAAAATGTTCTGGAATTCAGTTGTACAACTTTTTGAATATAGTGAATTGTAAATTCACTGAATTGTGATGATTCAAAGGGTGAATTTCATGGTTTTGAATTATGTCTATAACAAAAATGAAGAATGATAATTACTTTTGTCATCATCTTGGAAAATGGTTTCATAAAATACAAATGAAAATTCTTATGTCATCTGTTGCAAAATAATCATTCGTAGGGCACATTCTATAAAGTACATTTTTGATTAAATTATAGATCAATCACTAAAACAGATTGAAACAATAAATTATACCTGATAAGTAAAGCATCAATTTTTGAGAACTTTCCTTGTTTAAATGATAGAAAAGTTCAGCTCAAATAAGCATCTAGTTTTATAATTTCATATGTAAGCAAGAGAAATGGTTACATGATCACGTCCCAATGAATTACTTATAAAATCATGTTGAGAGTTACTGCGGTTTTGTTTCACTTCTTTGAAAACAAAGGTAAGTATACATTTATAATTGCAGTTGAGTATAAATAGAGACCAGTTTGCAAAATGAGCCAGGATGTATAAGTCCAAGGTAGGATTATAACATGATAAGTAATTCCTTTATTATTTGTTTCAGTAAAAGTGGTCGTATTTGTGCTGCCTGACATTAGCAATCATAATCTGATTTATAAAAACAAAATGTGAAAACTTAGTAAGTCAACTAATGTACTAAATAGAGCACAGGATTTTGATATTTGTGAAGTAGCTATTAATAAGTTAGAAAATTAAATTTTAATACATAAATGTGTGTGATAACAGACAGCTTCCAATAACTTTATCATTGTAGGTTTTAGCAATTCGTTTTCAAAATCTTGGTGGTTATGTATAAGCTATACAGCTCAAAGTCATGTGTGGGATGGTACTTAGTTTTTAAAAACATTATCTCACAAAATACACACTATATAGACAAGAATGACTTAAAGTTGGGTTGGTTTATTATTTCTTCACTCACAGCATGCAAATTATTGC